TTCAACACAGTTGAACCCTTTTCCTCCCTGAAACGCTTTCTTCATTTGGCTTCCAGGTCATGACACTCTCCTGGTTTCCCTTTTATTTTACTGTCTAGTCCTTCATTGGTTTCTCTTCATCTCCCTGACCTATGAATGTCGGAGGGCCTGGGGCTCAGAACCTGGACCTCTATTCTTCTCCACCTATGCCTATTCCCTTGGTGAGCCCATCTAGTCTCATAATTTGAAATGCCATCTACAGGTTGACTATCTTTATGTTTCAAGCCTGGACCTTTCTTCAAAACTCCGATTTCACGTCCAACCACATATTTGGCCTTTCCCCTCACATGTCTCAAATAGGCATCTCTAAATTAACATGTCCCAAACCAAACTCCAGGCCTTCCTAATCAGAATAAATGGCGATTTCATTCTTCTAGTTGCTCAAGGCAAAAGCCTTAGTCATCACTGACTCCTCTCTTTCTCACACACATCATGTAATCTGTCAGCAAATTCTATTTGCTCTACTTTCAAAAACATATATGTAATCCAATCTCTTCTCACACTTCCACTACTAACACCTTGGATCAAGCCACCACTTTTTCTTCCCTGGATTATTATAATAATCTCCCAACTGGTCACCCTGTTCCCACCCTTGACTCTCTTGGGTCTATTCTCAAGTGTAGCCAGAAAGATCCTTATAAAATATAAGTTAAATTATTTCACACCTCTGTTCANGGAGCTAAAACCCAATGATTCTACCGCTGTTTCACTGTCTGTCCCCCACTCTGAATCCTTCCTCTTTCCTAATGCAGCTTAGATTCCGTGGTTGATCATCATAATCACTTTCTAGCATGCATCTGTCTTCCTTTGTTATGCTTGCATGGCAAAATCCCAGCATCTGGTTAACAACTCTCCTCCCATTCTGTTTCTACACTCAAGCAGATAAATGAGGTTGGAGAAAAACATTCAACCATGCTGAGTGTTCCCACTTTAAATTCATGACCGTGAACCTCAAAAGTGCCTTTAGTACTACCCAGGAAGACTGTTATATTTCTTTAGTTATTCTCTCTTACTCTCCTAGATGACTATTTCATTCTTTCTCCTCAACATTGCCATCTGCATCCTCATACTCAGCTTATGACTTGCCTCCTATTTCACTAAGAAAATCAGAAGCAAGCAGAAGAGAATTTTCACAAGCTCCCACTACCACACTATCCACCTTTCTGCATCTATGCCCACATACGCTGTCTTACTCCTCTTACATAACTGATCTAAG